AAAGAATTAAATAATGAAGAGTCTGCATGAATGTAGTATGTTTGATAAAACGTCGGTGCCTAGAGCCATCAAAATTTGAATAACGTAATTTTCCATAGAATATCGGCATGTGAAAGCCCTAATTTGAATTTAAAATTTGTTTTATTATCGATTTCATATTTTATAATACTTCAACGAATTTTTCATTAACAAACTTAACGATTTCAAAGCGAGCAATGGCAACACTGTACGAAAAAAAAATTATCTCCAGCGTGCGATATATATTCCTGATATACTGATACTGAATGAGACCTAAAAACACTTTCCTTTTAAAATATATCTCCCCTTATGATCCCTGACACAGCCGTTTACTTTCCCCTTGCCTAATTAACGTCAGTCTCCTGCTCTTGACCGCATTTGCAAAGCCACCGACTGTACAGCATACAGCTGATGAGTCTTCCGGAGAGAATAATTTGCAGTCACCGAGGTTTTTTGTTAGTCTTAATCCTCCCATCCAATTATTATATTAGTCAAGTTGTGTGTATTTCTCTAAGTCAATTATAACTTTCCATCATTTGGATTGCTCGTCTGTTCAGGAAGCATTGCATTCACATCTGTTACATCTAATCCAACTGCGCTAGTGTAAAACTGATGTTTCACTTATTTGCAAAAGCAATATTTTGCTCACATTTAAAGGCAAATTTCGTATAATTTATTACCAAATAGCATTAGGAAAAAAAAAAAAAAAAAACACGAAGTCTACATTTGGGACACTTTTCTAGAGAATAAGATAGCACAAGGTGTAAGATGTTTAGTTTTATAAGCTCCATCATAATCCATGTTTAAGCTTTTCATTAATTCTAAGTTGGAAAATGCTTATATCTCCTTTTAGATTTAGTTGATATTTATGCTTCGAATTTCCACAGTGTAGGGATCTGATACTAACTGGGATCCATTTCTACGAATGCACTTTGAAGAAGAATGCAGAACTTTGAATATTATCGTAATTTCCTTAGTCTATTAGTTTAATCTAGGATTAAACTATCTGTCACAAGGTTGCAATCTAAATTAATTTTACGCAGTTTCCAATGATGTGACACAGCCAAAGGGAGTTGAATCTGAAGTGAGTGCCAGTCTGCACTGTCAAGTAAGATCATTAAAGTGCATTTGCTGTCTAAGAGAATATGGTCCACTTCTACTTGCAATGAGTAATGAAGATTCATTTGATCGGTACAAGCCCCAAACCCGTCCTCAGCCAGCTGTTAATTGAGCTACACAAATATTCAAAGCACCACGGTTTAAATTCCATATCCAGTTCCTGTCACAATAGAACTCAGGATTTACTCAATCTCCATTCGCTTTCAATAACTTGGATTCGAAATGCACTATGGATACATAGAAATCAACTGAATTGAACTGCCAAAGATCATAGCCTCCAAGTTATAATTGATATTAATTCAATATACAAAATTGTTTACATTCGAATGTTTTGAAGAGAATATAAATCCGGTAGTTTGGTTTAGATATTAATAATGTCAAGTATTTGCATAGAATGCTATAAAATATTGCTTTACAGTTTAAAATTATTGCCACTGTGATAATGACAAAATCAAATAAAATTTCCAATTAGCTGTGGTATTAATAATCGGGATTATTAAAGACAGCAGGTGCTGATCATATAATGATATCATTCTCAGAAATATTAATAAGATTCAGGAAAGGAAACCTGGAATGTCTAATAAGAACTATAATTATGAATATAAAGAAAACAGAATGCACAAACGCCTTTGGCCCGAATTATTGAATTCATATCTATATTTATGCTTACAGACTATTACTGTACTGCAGCAATGTTTCCCCAACCATAAAAAAATACAACAACAGCTTAAATATTAATGTTAGTTTTCGAATATTCAAACGCAGTTGTAGAGTATTTAATTCCAATCTCATTTTATGTTTCAACAATTTTCTTTATGTTTAAATTGTACCATCATAATGACATATGGTCGTATGTATACTATAAAAATCAAAGTATTTCAGGCATAAACATGTCAGTATACGCAATACTTAAGACTGCAGTTATTTTCCTTATATAACAATCAGTTTTAGAAAGCGATGTTTACTGGAAAATGTCAAGATTGGAAGTAACATGTAGCATAAAATCTCTTTAGAATTTAAGAAAGAATAAACCGTAATATCCAAATAAAGTGACACGGTGATAAGTTTCGAAAAATAAAGACAAGAAAATGTTCCTATGCTATATAACAAATCAATTGAGAGACGGGTGTCAGTTCTAGCTTTGTTAATGTTCTTCAGACAGAAGAAATATTTTGTATCCTTAAGGAAATCTTGTATGAGAAGACAAGAAAGCTCGTTGCCTTAAGCGAAATAATCTAAGAAATAATGTATCTGTTTAAGCATGCGCTTGGTATTCTTGAAGAATTCGTAGTACATCTGCGTGGTATTTTGTAAGTTAAGATGTGAAATCATAAGAATCCAAAGGCTTTCGTTTAAAAGTTTTTTTTTTTTTTTTCAAAATAACTCTCTTTGGAATGTAAATGTTTCGGCAATGTAAATTGAAGGCCTTTAAGAAAAATTTTAATAATATGTGAATATATAGATAGGAATAATTAACTTTAGAAATCCGAAACCACTTATATAAGTGCGAAGAAGAAATGTGAATGAAATTTTTATACCATTTTAGAAAAAAAGGTCATCAACAGGTTTTGGTCTTTACGTATTGTGAAGAATTCAATGCCAAAGGCACCAAGAATAGAATTTTCTTCAGTAGATAACGAAAATGTTTTGGGACTAATTCCAGGCTATGAATAAGAAAACAAATACCTTTATTGAATTTCTGCAAAGATATATGAGGAGAATACTCATATTTTTATCACAACCTGCCATTCAAAGATGATTATTCTTTCAAGCGGATATTTCAGCGAATCTATATTCTTCCATTAAATGTGAGTAAATAAAAAAGGGTAATTTAGTTAAATGCAGCGTCCTGTACTCGAAAATACCTTTCAAGGATTAAATCAAATATGAGAGAAAACTATTGGGAAAAAATGACAGGGTGCATATTACATTAAATTTATTTTCTCTCTAAATGTCATTTCTTAATAAAAAAAAATTTTAAAGAAATAAATAAATTTTGATTTCATACTGCACTTTTTTTCTTTTCCCTTATTCCTGCCATTTTTTTTCAGTCTCATTCAAAGGAATAATATTTGGAGAAGAAGCGTCGTATGCTACTAACAATTTAAAAAAAAATCAACTTTACCAGACGAAATGTAATTGGGAGACACTAATGTGAAGTAAAGTGGCTTTAGGCTGAACCAATTTGAGTGGGAAACGTCATAAGCTGCTTTTCAGATTTTCGTAAATTTTATTCCAAGCGACAAATTGATTTTAAAATTTGTTTGGCAAAAGACTAGCTTAGTTAGAGGAATGTCTGAAATATGTGACATAACTAGGTAAAGTATTCAGGATAATACTCGAGTTCTTTACGAATTGGAAAAAAAATTAAGGAAAACGAGTGGCCTTCGGCTCCAAACATGAATCACTAGTCGTGATTAGTTGCTGACGTCACTTTCTTAGCGTGGTATGACATTGCGAGTTCGTGATACGAGTTGATAGAATCAAGGAATTCCCAGTTTTTAATTACGTATCATGGTTCTTTAATAATCTTCCGGGAACATTTTTATATTTAGATATTACTGGGCATTTATTCCAGTATTTTTGCTAAAATTCTTTTCTTTTTTCAATTTATGTACGTAAGATGTAGTTCTTTTCTTTCTGCGATCCAATGGTGCAGGTTTTGAAATAGAATTTATTCCAATCAACCAACCTTTCTCTCATATGTATGCCATTTCAGTAAATAATTATTCTTTATTATACAATTCCAGATACATGTGTTGAGATTTTGCTTAATAAGCATTCAGGTGGAATACATTAATCAGCCTCATTTCTCATCAAGCGCAAACTAGTACGAGCTTCACTGAAATTTCATTGTTGTTTAGTACTTTTTTAATTGCTACTTACTTTATTGTAATGTTCTTTAATTATTGTTTACTTATTTTACTTATTATTTACTTATTTTAATATAATTTTATTTTAATTATGGCTCGTGACAAAGTTGGCTACTTCATTGCTTACGAGAAATCACGACGGCTCTGTGTCTCGGAGGATGTGATGTATGAACACGTTTCATATTCAATAAGATAAAAGCTAGCCCCAGTTCGTATAACCTGTGAAATGCGCTTAGACGTCGTTACCTCTACCAATGCGACCTGCTCACTCATATGTTACCAACGCTTCTCCGGATCGCCCGCGGAAATAGGTGTCGCAGCAACAAAGTATTTTTTAATCTAATTAGAAAATCTCGTAAGCAAAAGCCTGATAGTAATGTCCTGTGATCGAACTCTATGAAAGATTTCAAAAAACACACTTATAACTTTGGCTGACCGAAAGAAAGAATTTAAAGGGCTTCAAATACAGTATTCAATTGCTGTTGCAGAACCATTGGGTCACAAGATTTTCGTCATGTTATATTGAAAACCAGACAAAACAAATTAAATTGGATCCTTTTTAAGGTAAAACTGTGAAACACGACCAGACATAAGAATAATCTTCTTAAACGTCAAATTTAACACTAAGTTTAGAATGAAAGTATTAACTTCCATGCTAATTAAAAGGTAACCAGGCTTAAGTGTATTTTATTGTGCATATTTATATCAATCGCCATATTGGCAATGGCAATATTATATATATATATATATGTAAGAAAAATAAAGAATATGTAAAAGATCGATCTAGCAGCGCAAATTAATTTTCCTTCTGTATTCTAAAAATAGTAGTAACTTCTATTTTCACAGCATCATTTAGAGACTAATCTATGTCATACGATGCTTGCGTAATTCTCATGATGTAAATGGAACTAAAAATAAAACAGCCAATAGTAATTTTACAGAAATATTAACTATTCAGTGAATATGCATTGAGAATCAAAATTAACTCACTCTGAATTAAGATTTCACCCTGCACTTGCTTTCAACGCTTTCGCCTTAGCTGGACGTCTGTCTGTCTGCTCCTTCTATTTCACTGCAAATGTATCTAAAATGAAAGCTTTTTGGAATAGGCACATTTAATTTGCCAACTTGTTTGTGGCTGCAACATGTTTGCTAAAATAAATAATGAAGATTTAATCTGCCTTCGCCTCTAATTTCCTGTTCATTATGGATCAACACTTCTACGCTATCAAAATTCCTGTTGGTCATTTACTTCTGAGTTTGTTTTTATCATATGTAGTGTATATTTTGTTTTATATTTCTATTAAGAAAAAAATAATCATTGTAAAATGTAGTGATCGTACAAAAGTTTTTAAATTTTTGTTAGATGGTACGTATTTGACAAAGGCTGTAAACGTTTGTTCCAATCTATATTCTTCAGTCACCACTGTGAGATTTAAAGCGCGAATTTCAGTGCTTCAGATCGTCGACACATTGCAATACCCAGGCTGAAACTATTTCAGGCTATATCCATTAATGTGATTTCGAGATTCAAAACGATTATTTCTTTACCATAATAGTAGTTGAAATGAATTTTTACAATTTTTTTTTAATTTCTAGTTTACATGATTTATATTTAATATTTCATGTGTGTCAAATATGCCATCTCTTTTAATACCAGTTTATCCCACACCTAGCCAAGCAAAAGTGCTCGTGTAATATCTGTGAGATGATGTTTTCGTTCTTATATGTAATCTGAATTACTTACAGCAAATATAATACGGGGGGGTGAGCTATATTGTAGGCATTTTGAAACTTACAGAAACAAATTGGAAAAATAACTAAAAATTCGAAACCTTTTCTGAAGAGGGCTGGGTTGGGTTATTCAATTATGGCAAACCACACGAGGGCTATCTACCTAAAGGGAGGGATGCCTTTGTGGATGATTTTCTAAGGGAAACTGGCTCGTATACACGTTACACATGGGGAAAACCACGAAAACGTCCATGCAGTCAGCCCGTTTGCGGGATTCGACCGTCGGACCGAACTATCAGTGTTCAGCAACTTTACCGCTCGGCCGCTGGTGGGCTCAAATTTTTTGAAGAATGAACAATGTGAACACTCATATAAGTAGCGAACGGTATTAAAAGTTCAATGTTTGGTGATACTGGTGTAAAATACTGATTTCTTCCTGCATTTTATATATAAGTATCTAATTATGTACACGAGAATTACCTGCCTTTGAAAACGTCTTCTGGGCAAAAATTTCATTTCATTTAATTTATTGACTTCTTCACATTCATGCCATCAGTGAATGACTGGACAAAACCGCTAAAAATGCTAATTAGACCCAGGTTAAAACTCTTGCAAGCGTGGTAGTTGTGTGCGTGTTTTTGTGGTTTTCCAAAACAACAACTGAAAGGTAAACTCATCTGGACGCCGACCTGAGTCACATTCCATGCAGTGTCCGAGAATAAAATCGACATCAATGGAAAGTTAAAGGTTAACATCACGTTTGGGGGTGCCGCTTACCATCACATGGCATATATTACAGATATTACCAACCCTTGCATACTCGGATTAGATTTTTTAAGGAAATGCAATTTTCCCCTGGACTTGAAAACTAACGAACTTCATTTTGCCACTAGGGGCATAAACTTGTTTGGAACTAAAGATGAAGGAGTTAAATCCGTCCACCAAATAATAGTCCAAGACGATACCACACTACCAACAAGAACATAATTTTAACTTCTTGGATTCATAGCTGAAAACAGAAATTTATGGTATGGCATCATGGAATATCTCAAGAACTGTAACAGCCCTAAAAGAGTGCTAGTAGCCTCGGTACTCGTTGATCTATCGAAGACCATCATCCCGATGAGAGTTACCAGTGTAACTGATAAGGTGAAAGCTATTAGAAAAGGTGAAATGGTGGCAGCGAGGATTACAGTAGCCTGCGTTAAACGAACTAGTAGTCCTACAGCGTCTGTGCCTTCGGTTTGGTTTGTTTTGGTTTATTTGATTATTGCAAATCCCTGGAAAGTTATATGACTACGGGGAGGGATGCTTTAGCGAAGAACGTTCTAAGGGAAACTGGCTCGTATACACGTTACACATGGGGAAAGCCACGAAAACGCTCATTCAGCCAGCAAGTTTGGGATTCGAAGCTCGGATTGAACTACCAGTGTTCAGAAACTTTACCGCTTGGCCGTTGGTTGGTGAACCGTCTGCATCTTCAGAGAGCTTAACATCGGAGTTATTGCAGAATGTATATCTAAACGATTGAAGAGAGAAATGACGCACAACGTGATATTAAAGAATTTCAAGATATTTTCTCCCGCTCATCTTATGACGTACGCCGCACCAGTTTGAAACTGCACAGAATTGATACGGGGGTCATCAGTCAATCAAGCAATATCCGATACGTCTACCGAATGCTAAACAGAAAAATACCAATTCAACACCGTCTGACCCAGACCTGTGGAGTGACGGAGAAGTCAGAAAAAATCAGTTGGAAGACCACGACATTAAACCCATAACTGACTGAATGGAATCTTCGAGTAGGAAACTTAACTGGCAGGACATTTCGATACATAGTACAAAAAAGAAACAAAACTGCGCTTTCTGGGACTCATTCCATATTCTAAACCGCGTCTTATACTGGAAGTTCGAATCGGATGATGGAAAGCCATTTCAATAGCAGCTCATATTGTAAGGATTTATTTTATTCTAACCAATTATTTTTAGTTGGACTTTCCGGTCTCTTCTGATTCCAGTTTCCTGCCGGAATGTAAATTTGTTATGACGTAGATGCAAATTCTAAACGTGTTTCAGAAGATGTATTTAAGCTGCGTTGTAGGAAATCAAAAAGGATAGCAGTAGCGGACTTAGTTCCGATGCTTATGTTGCATATATAAATTTAACTCTCTAGTTCGGTGTTTGACACATTTCAGTTTAAACATATTTCTTGGCCTGGCTTTGCTGTGTATAACCGATTTAGCGTTAGTTAAGCTAAGGAGCCTGTCATTAGATATCGTAATTTACTAGTGATTTGTTACATTCTTATTTTCTGTTAATCTACGTAGCCATAAATGGTAATGATTTGTGAGCATGAAGTGCGTGCATATGTTCATTTTAGTTTAAAAGAAAAGGTTATTTTAAAACATTCTTCTGCAGTTTATTTTTCAAAAAACATAGCGAGAATTATATACTTCGTCTTCGACATAGGTTCAAGATTGTATGCTCCCAAAAGAACACCTGCCGCCTGGCAGGCGGCCACTTCGGAGTCATGTAGACTTTGCAAAGAGTTCGAGAGCGCTTCTACTGAATTACTGCAGACGTGCAAAAGTGATACCAATCATGCGATGCTTGTGCGAGTTTAAAAAGACCGAAAAAACGCAGCCAAGATCTCCTGCAACGTTACAGTGTAGGAACTCATGTTGAACGTATTGCTTTTGATATCCTGGGACCTCTGGTACGAACAGCTGATGAAACAAATTCATATTCGTCATTATTGGTTATTTCAAACGTTGGCCTTAAGCGTGTCCTATCCCTGATCAAGGGGCTGTCACGATAGCAGAAGTAATAATACAGTATTGTATTTCCAGGTTTTGAGTGCTTCTTCAGTTGCATTCCTATCAAGGAAGGAATTTCATCTCGGTTCTAATTGAAAACTCTGCAAGCTACTTGGCATCGAGAAAACCCAATGACACCTTTACATTTCCAATTAGACGGCGTGGTAGATAGGTTTAATCGAACCTTCTTTAATAACCTCTCGCTGATGGTTTCTAGAAACCAACAGGACTGAGATCAGAAGTTATGACTGTTTTTTTCGGCCTATCGCAGTACTGTCTACGGGACTACCGGCTCATCCCAGACGTGACTTTCGTCTGCATGGTGATCTGTTATTTGGTCGCCCTCCTGATACGCCTTCATCGCCTGAGGATAACATTTAAGATCTCCAGACACGGTTTGAAGTGATGCACACTTTTGCACGAGAGTGAGTCAGCTTGTCGACGGAGAAGATGAAGACCCGATACGACACGACGTCTACAGGACATCGATTCAACGGACAAGGTGTGGTTATGGAATCCGATTCGACGGAAAGGATTTTGTCACAGTCATCTTGGGGGATACATACAGAAGGACAGAAGGACTTTTGCGATTTGTCGTACAGAAGGACTTTTGCGATTGTGACGAAATTTGGTATGCTAAAACATGCAAATGATCAAAGTTTCAAGGAAAATGAACAGGAATTGCGATCATAGCGCGCATTTCTAGTGCGCAATTCGCAAAGTATAAAACCAGTAACAGAGGCGGAAAATTTATCTTTTTTTTGTAGCTGCCATTGTAATTCCGTAAAGAATCAACTAAAGATGCCATTACGACGATATCGAAGACCTTACAGACAACTAACGACTCCGAACGGGGTCGCATTGTAGCCGCCACCTACAGCGTACAGACACAGCTGTAAAAAGATGTTGGCAGCAATGGTTGCTACAAGAAATTGCCGACGAAATGAAGGCTCTGGAAGGCCAAGGATAACAAATGCAAGGCAAAATAAGATGATTGTTCGCCAGGCCCGAACAGCCCCAACGGCTCTTGAAACAGATGACCACCGTGTTCGTGTCTGGACTGGACGAGGCCAGCGGTCCCAATCAGCCTTGCTTCACAAAGGCATACAGTCATAACCCCTGGTGTGATGGTGTGGGCCGCTATTTCTTATGACAGCAGGTCATCTTTAGTCCTCCTCCGTACATGTTTAACAGCTCAAAGACATGTTGATACCATTCTGCGGCCGGTTGCATTACCTTTCATGGCACGTCATCCTGGGGCCATTTTCCCACAAGATAATGCCAGACCACATACCGCTCGCATATCTCTGTACTGTCTCCGTGCGATTGATACTCTTCCTCGGCCAGCATTGTCACTAGACCTTTCACCAATCGAGCATATCTGGGACATGGCGGGCTGCCAGATTCGGGCACCACAAAATATCGCAGATCTGGAGCGACAACTGATGAATGCCTGGCAGAA